AAAAAAAAAAAAAAAAAAAAAAAAAAAAAAAAAAAAATGTGCTGAATCCAGAAAATGCTCAAAAAATGGTGTTATTTTCTCTTAAGGATTGAGTACTTAATCAATACAGAAATGCTCAAAAGAAACTCAATTAATCGTATTAAACATACCAAAAACACAAATTTTCACAAATTGACGGAAAAACATCCTATTTATTAGGCTGAATCCAGAAATTCAATCTCCCTAAAATCACTCAACACTTACACCTTCATGAAAAGAAGAAAAAAAAAAGAGGTGAAAAGAAAATGTGAATTCTGCAATTTAGCTATGAAAAGAACACTGATAACAGTCTTCAATTTGACAACATTTTGCTTGATTACTTTTCTACTGCTTGTTCTTTTTAACTCGAGCCCATTATTCCTAGTTAACGGCTTATCCATTCATATTTCATACTACAGTTGAGTACATAACATAACATAACAATGATAGCACTAAAATTCACAAAGAACCTCTTTTCAGAGTAATATTAAGTTTGTTCACCAACTTGAACTACAAACTCAAGAAAAAAATTTCAAACACTCCAACTTTTTCAATAGTTTCTGAATTTCTACATATCCCATCAACAAGCTATCAAAAATCATCCTTACCATTATTATCCCCACAAAACCTTCACAAATCCATCAAATCATGGCTTTTCCATGATCAACTAAACTTCAATTACAGAATTTGAGCAAACTACTTTGGATTGCATATCAAAACAAGGCTAGAAACTTCATATAATGTTTAAAAACAGGCGAAAAGACGAAAAGGAAGATCGAAAATCGATTACCATGAGTACTGATGCCACTAATAGAGTTATCGACTTTAGATCTTGAAGATATACAGCTGCCAATAAACCTCAATTTTAACCAACAACCAGTGCCCAAAGTTTCATCATCAGCATCAACATCAATTTTATCTTTTTTCTTCCTCCCTTTTGAGTTCTTCACATCCCAAGACTCGGCCTTTATGCCATCATCAACTAATCCAATTTTCTACAAGAGCACCCAAATTTTCCAGAACAATCCTCACTTGCAGCTCAATAGCATGAAAGCCCCCCAATAATCACAAGAAATTACTCAAGCCCATTACAGAAAACAAGTCAAATATATCAAAGATGGGGCTTTTTTTTCCTTTTCAAGAAACTGAAATTCACCAAAAGACTGCCACACATCCACAATATTCTCACTTCCCTTCAAGAATCGATTTTTATTCGATATAATATCACAAAAAGTCTTTGTGAAATTCCCAATACATCAAACTCGATCAATAATCACCTAAATATGATAGAATAATTGTTCTAAGTAAAAAAAGAAAAAGAAAAATACAAAAACCCAGAATGAAATCGGGGAGATAGCTCAGACCCAGTGAAAAAAGATCTGCTCAAGAAGCAGGCTTCTAAAAAAAACCCTAAAAATTTGAAGTTAAGGAACCGCACCTTGGGAAGAACAGCGGCTTTGACTCGCCGGAATCGGAAGAGCAGCGGCTTTGACTCGCTGGAACTGGAAGAGCAGCGGCTGCGACTCGCCGGAATGGGAAGAACAGCGGACTGTGGCTCGCCGAAATGAGACGAGCAGCGGATACGCCGAAATAAGACGAGCAGCGGATTGTGAATCACCGGAATGAGAAGAGCAGCAGTCGACGGACGTGTGACCCTCTGGAAGAGATGAGCAGCACTCGCCGGAATGAATGAGCACCGTGAAAATAGGGAAATGAGATGAGCGAAATTTTTTTGAAATTTGGAAATGAAAATGCAGAGCCCGGTTTTTGTGAAATTGGAAAATGAAACTGGAAAATGTAATAGTGTGTAAGGGCAGTTAGGTCTTTTCTCAAGCCCAAATGGTTAGATTTCATTTAGTTTAAAAAGATGGCTATATTTCATTTTTTGTTTTATTTAAGTGCTATAAAGCACCATTACCACTAATTTAAATGAATAATTTTAAGTTAGTAATTGATGAAAACCCTCGAGGTTATTATTGTCTTTCGAACTAATGTCGGTTGGAGCACTCGCCTATATAATGCCCCCATCTCCAAAATCTAGGTATATAAGGCCCCAATTTCTCTCCCTCTTCTCTCTGTTTGCCTCGCGACACAAACCCCCTCCCTGTAAATTTCTGAATCAGCGAGCTCTTTAGCGATCAAACGAGCGGGTAAATCAAGTTTCTTCGATGATTTGATGTTTCTCATCTCTGATTTTAGCTCTTATTATGTTTTTGTTTCTTCGAGGTACGAATCTGATCATTTGTTTATCTTTGTTGGTCGGTAATATGTAGGACAATCAATACATATTGTCGTTGTAGAGGAAAATGGCGAGTTTTGAGGTGTACAGGAGGTCTACGATCGGAATGTGCTTGACTGAAACTTTGGATCAGATGGTTTCAAGCGGAGTTCTTGCGCCGGAGCTCGCGATTCAAGTGCTGATTCAGTTCGATAAGGTGTTTTTTTCCCCCTTTTAATGTCCTTAAAATAAAATTTTTAAGGATTCGTTTTACATGAGTGCAGAAGAGTGATGAAGATTAATTAATGAAATGCATGATAGATTGCTGGAAATCTCTTCTTATGAGTATGGCTACACACCATTTTCTTAATTTTTTGGATTAGGACACCCCTGCTCTGCCCGTGGTCTGTGTGGGATATAGGTTCGATTTTACAGATTTGGAGTTATTGGAAGTGGAGGCAATTTGGGGCCGACCCACATCCTATAGTTTAATGTTTTGATAGTTCTTTTACAATGGGTGACTGAAAACTGATGTTGAAGGTTTTACTTGAACTTGAGTTCCATGATTATGGTCCGGAATTATCTGTTAATGGTATGCATAGTTTCGATTTGAATCATCTTTAATTTCGCCTCCTTGGTGTGCAGTCAATGACTGAAACCCTAGAAAGTGAGGTGAAGAGCAAAGTTTCATTCAAGGTAAATGGCGTTCTATTCTATGGTAAAGGATGCCGTAAAAATTTCCATGTTATTTGATCCAATATACAGTACGAGCATTCTTCACACGAACTATTTGTAGCTCGTAAAAGGACTACCTTGGACCGATTTCACAATGAAAGCTGTAAAATAATAACAAAATATATTACTTTGGTGTATGTTCGTCCACGAAATAAATACGACGAAAAATGTAGAAGTATGGCTAAACTGAGCGTAAAAAAATACACTGTTAAACATAGAAAATATGCACATTTTTCGACCTATCATTATTGACGTTATTGAAGTCAGTATGGAGTGTGGAAATTTTGAATGCCATTTTATCTTGCTTATGCATGTATATATTCGGGCTTATGTCGTTACAAACTTTTTTTGTTGAACCTGGAACTCAGTGTATTGTTTCTGGTATTTACTTATATTTTCTGAGCTGAAAGTCCAGGTTATACTTCTCCGTTCTTATATTATGAATATTAAAATCATCTTCATCATCATCACTTTTCCTAAGTTTTTTATGCTCGTCCTGACATAGTGATGCTGCAGACTCATGATCCATGTGAAGACTGAGGAATTTATAGTCAAGATAATTTGTAGTAATGTTGTTTTCTGTGAAGATGTACCTAACTGCATTCTGCTGATAGGTGATATGGATTCAACTTTATAATCTTCAAGCAAACAAATGATAATGTTATATTAAATGTGGCCAGTGCCCAAGTTTCCCAAAATATAAGTAATACAAGGCTGAAAGCTCCATATGTTGTATTACTTTTCAAATATGTTAACGTAGTTTGTCTCGGGTGACAATATCCTTTACTTGAAATTAGAATACTCGAAATGAATATATTCTGACTCGAGCTTTTTCTATAGGATTATCAGTCCTGATTAAGTCGTTTTAACTGTGTATTCTCTTTGCCAGGAGTTATTGATCACTATAATTGTTTCGAATTTTAGTTGTAGTGATTGAACTAGCTAAAAGGTTAATATTCAGTTGGAAATACTCGAAAGAGCCAACAATATTTTGTTTCAAGATTTGTTCTTTGATGTAGTATGGTTTGAGAAAAAAAAAGAAGTAGCATGTTCTTTAGCATGCCTTTCTTTACTTCCTTTTTTTTTCACTCTCATCTAGTGGGCCGCAAGGAAATCCTCTGTCAATATGTGTTGTATCAATGTGCATTTGACCCGTGTTATTATTTGTCTTGGTCTTTTCGTTCCACACTTTTGAGGTGGGAACCATTGGTTGTTCTTGTTTTTTCTGCAGGGGCATCTTCATACCTATGGATATGTTGACGACGTCTGGACCCTGGTTTTGAAAAATGTCCAGCTGAAAAGTGAGGGAGGTCAAGAAACTGTTGACGTTGTTAAGATTGTCGCATGCGACTCTACATTACTGACTAAGTGAATTGTTAAGAGTCAGCCTAGTGTATTTTTCATTCAATACTGGGGAAGATGAGTTGTATCTGCTAATAGCGGCAGCGCAAACTTGTGCACACTACTGTAATTTGATCTTGCTATCTGATTATGCTGAATTAATATTATGGCGTTCTTTTCCTTGAGGCCCCACTGTTTGTTTGCTCGGAATTTGTAGATACTTTTGTCTTCTGTGGCCCTACTGTTTGTTTGCTCGGAATTTGTAGATACTTTTGTCTTCTGTGCTGTGTTCTTTTGTAGAGATAATTGTAATTTGAATTTGCAGAAATTAGGCATGTTTAATGAATTACAAGTGCACTTATTATTATTATTATTATTATTATTATTATTATTATTATTATTATTATTATTATTATTATTATTATTATTATTATTATTATTATTATTATTATTATTATTATTATTATTGTTGTTGTTGTTGTTGTTGTCGTCTTTTTCTTTCACTTATATTTTCTTGGGAAAAAATTTTTTTTCCATCCGAACTATCACGTGTTTGGCGCTCTACCATATAAACTTTTTTTTTGGCAAACCACCACCACCTCAACTATGCGAGTTTGTCAAATTGCTCCCTATACCAGGTTTATGCCTGGTTTCACCTCATTGAAACCGGTTTTCAGAGGGTGTTTTAGGTATTTGATGTATTTAAAAATAATAAAAAATAAAAAATTATTTAATGTGATGATTTGTAATTGGAACTATCCAGATCTGCAGCATTACAATCTGTTACGCGAGGATGAAGCCGAGCCCAATTTGTTTCATTATCTCGTGAATCTTATGTTCCCATAAAAGTTCCAATGAGGCCTCCACCAAAAATTTAGACGGCCATGGGAACAGGCATCGATTTGCGAGAAAACCAAATGAATCAAGAACACCTGCACCTTTCTCTGTATGCCCGGCCTCTTGCACTCCGGTGTCCTCAAGAATTCAGATTTCGGGCCCGACGAGAAATACCTCGAGCACAGATTGTTCGGTGAACGAATCCGTCACCGCTGCCGCGTTGTCGAGCCAAAATTGGGGAAATCAAAGAAGAAAAGCCCCAATCCTCCTGATCCAACTTCTTCTTCTGCAGGTTGATTTTGGCGGTGGTGCTGGTCTTGCCGCCTTTGCCGGAGGTGATGAATGCAACGCGGGGGGTCTCGTCGGAGAGCTGCGGCGTGTAGTTGTGCTGGAGGAGGGCTTAGATTGGGACGGTGGTGACGGCAATCTAGGGTTTTGGGTTGTGTTGGATGGCTCGGATGTGGCGGCGACTAGGGTTTTCATTGACCTCCTGAGGAGTTTTTGAGGGATGAGGTGCGGCGGTGAGGGCTTGGCAATGGTGTTGACGGTTGGAATTCAAGTAGGATTTTATTGATTTTTTTTATTAAAAAATAAAAATGCATAAAAAAATAGGTTAATAAGTGAGAATTTGAGAAAGAATAGGGATTAATTTGTCACATTTGAATAGTTTATAAATTATGATTTGGTCCTTTGGGTACTTTTGTAATATTTTAAAAATTTGCAATTCCCAAAATGTCCTTGTGAATCAGCTTTTTTACTACAAAACAACTTTAAATACAGTTTTGGAGGGCAAAGTGAAAAAAGCGGGTAGTTAATATGGTGGTTTGCCAAAAAAAAAATAGTTTGTATGGTAAAGCGCCAAAATCGTGATAGTCCGGATGAGAAAAAGTTTTTTTCCCTATTTTCTTGGATAGCAAAGAAAACCTGAATCATTTTGGTTGGTAGCAAATCCATCGTGACAAACCAGAATTATTCCCAACATATCTTATCTTAAAGGTTTTTTTTTTTTTTCCAAAAACGATAGAAATTTTATGAAAACTAAACCACATAATTACAATTACAATTAGAAATTAGCTAGAATAGCCGAACAACCAAACAGCTGAATCCAAGAGGCTTATCTGGAAGTAGCTTAGAAGCAACTACACTAACTCACCTACAACACAACAAACTAAACATCTAGCGCTCCCAAAGGAAGAATAACAAAAAAGCTCCCAATAGGAAAATAAACGAAGCGCTCCCAACGAGGAAGAAAGGAAAAGAAAACACACCCTACACACAAATACAACAACCAACACCTAAAACGAAAAACAACAACTACACCACCCCTCTGCAGCCAACAGCCAAATCAAGTCAACCAACGATGACGCTAAAGGATACCCGTTCAAACGGACAAAGCTAAGGCCCAGGAACCCAAACCAGAAACTTCCCAACAAATCGCCTAACTAGGTCGGACGCCAGCGGACCCAAACCACGTCCCAACGGGTACCCGAGACCCATACCTGGAGACTCATACCAATCGAACAACCAGGCCCAAACTCGAGAACACAACCCACGACCCAAGCTAGCCGACCAAACACCTCCACCCAACACCAAAGACAGGGAGGTCACAGCTGTTTGTCCCATTTTTGTTGCGTTTTTCGTTGTTGTTTTGTCATTCTTTTCCCCCCATTTTAGGTGTTTTTGTTGGTTTGTAGTTCGTTTTGTTGATTATGGTGTGTTTTCCTTTATTTTGGTTTCCTTTGTGTTTTTCGTGTGTTTTTCCCGTTTTCTTCTTGTTTTTTGTGTGCAGGTCGGAGGCCCCGTGAGGAATAGATTTAGTCCGGAAAACCATGGTTGTGTAGATGGGTTCGTTGGCTACACATAGGAAAAACCGAAACTCGATTTCGAGTTCGTATGAGTCCAGGCAGGCCCAAAACGCGAAGTCGCGTGAAGTCGCACGCGAATCACGCCTTTAGTGTGATGGTCAAGAGCTTTGTGAGAATTTTATTTCAAGAACAATTTGGCCATTCAAGCTTCATTGAATAGAGGGGTTCGTTAGCGATGCGTAGGAAAAAACGGAGCTCAATTCCGAGTTCGGACGAGCCCAAACGAGCCAAAAACGCAAAGTCGCGCTGCCCAGACACCTTAGCGGCGCTAAGGCTCACTTATATAGCGGCGCTAGACCATGTTAGCGACCCCAGAGACTCGCAGCTTTCATCCCTTAGCGCCGCTAACCCCCCTTAGCGGCGCTAAGGCCCCCTGCAGGTCCCAAAATAGTATAAAAACCCCAAAAACTCGTTTTCTTCTCCATTCTTTCACTTCCAGCTTGAAGGGGGAGGAACCCTAGGTCCGAAAATCACCTCCCCCCTTCACTTTCCCTTCTTCTTCTTCTCTTCTCCTCTTCTCCATCTTTCTTCTTATTTTTATCATTATTTTCCATTTTTTTTCTCTTTCGTCTTCGGATTAAGCTTGTATTACGAATTCGACTTTGGACCTTGGATTGATTGTAAGCTTTTCTCTCTTGTTTAATTCATGAATAATGATTAAATTTGGAGAATTGATTTATTTTGTTGAATTCGATATGCGTAGCTAATTCGTATCGCTGGGGATAAGGGAATGATTATTCTTGTTTAACGTGCATCTCTCGGGCTTGAAATTGTTCGTTCTTATGTGAGTTGTTTTGATTAGGGATTGATATAGTCTTGCTTGATTGATTGATATAATCAAAAAGTGACACTTCGATCTTGCAATTGGTAACAATTGAATGTTGATTAGTCGAGTTAGGGTTTTGTTGATTCTATGCGATTAGTTGATTAAGCACCTTCTAGTTAATTAGCGACTTGTAGAACCGAAAGGGGAGAAGTCATTGACCTAGGCTCACATGAGATAGACGATGTCATAATTGACTAATCTACGTGTTTTAGATTGAAATACGTACTTGTCAATGACCCGTCCCTTGTTACGAAAAGTTATTGGGATTGGGATAATTGGCCTGTGTTGTATGCTTGAACTTGTTCGTCTATGTTCAATCCCTTGTTACGAAGAGTTATTGGGAGCGAACCGCTGGATGTCTAAGCGAGAGTGTCAATCTCGAACCGAACAATGAATTGCCCGATTTTGCTAGAACTTGAATTAATTGTCCCCGATTCCCTAGCTTCTCCATCTTTATTTCGTTTATCTTTTTAGGTAGGTTATTGCTTTTTATTATTTCTTAGCTGATAATTATTCAAACCCCCTTATCTGATTAGTATGTTTAGGATTTTATTTGCTTTTATGTGTTATCAATATCAAAGCTAAATTCCGAATAGCCTTCCTCGTGAGATCGACCCGGGGAACGAATCTTTAGATTCGGTACTCGGTAAAAAGAATAATTTGTACACAACAAATTTGGCGCCGTTGCCGGGGAAGGCAAGTAGGATATTTGGTTTTGGTATTGATTTTATTTTCTGTGTTTCTCTTTATTTTGTGTTTTTCGTATTTTTGTTCTTTTTTTTGTGCATATTTGTTTTTCTTTTCGTCTTCTTTGTTTTTCTCTTTTTCGTGGCTTCGCGTGGTTTTTTTCTGTTTTGGTGTGCAGGTTCAATGAACTTCAATCACGTGTACTCCCCCTTGCACTACCCCTCTTGGGTTAACGAGCCGAGCTACCACACCGGGTACAACGTCCAGTCTTATCCCTATTCTTCCGAGCAGTACTGGGACCCCCTCCCGGTCGAGCAATATTATGAGTCTCATGCGTTCAACGAGAAGCTCGACCGTATCTATGATTTCGCAATATCCCGGTTAGCTCAGGAAGAAGAGACAACAACCCGGTGTGCCCAATTGAACCAGCCACCTCCATTCTACGATTCTTGGGACAATGGCCAGATTTGGTCGTATCCTTACGAGCGGCAGTGGGAGTCCAGACCTGTTGAGCAGTCATGTGCGTCCCTCGAAGATTCCTCAGAATATAACGCCAAGCTCGACCAGGTCCTCACTCATTTGGCATCCCAAGCAGCCCGTAAGAGCAATCTTGAGTCCAGGATCGAGAACCTAGTGGAGCGCGTGCAAGCCTTAGAGGACCGAGTTACCAATGTCACTCCCGAGCCCACCACTCAAGGCGAACCTACACATAGAGACGAGCCTCGGGAGGCTACTTTGTCATTCGATGAGAAGCTCGACCTCATCCTTGCTCGCATATCTGCCCAGTCCACTCGAGATGTAGAGATTGAGCTTGGGTGTGCTCGACTGAGCACACAAATGGAGATTCTTGCAGCACATACCAACTCAATCGAGGCAAAAGTCGACTACCCCCACCTCATGCTTGATACTCAAGCCCGCACAATGAAGCAAATGTGTGAGGCCGAAGAAGATGATGATGAGCTTGATGATATTTCAGAGGAGGAGATCCACAGGCTTGATTCTCAAGTCCCTCCTCCCACTTCCGAGTTGGAGCATCCATCTTCGGGACCTTTACACTGTGATACAAAGTGGGGAGCATTCAGTTCGACTTGCTCCACAGATGAGCTTATATTTTCGGAGGTTAAAGATAGAGCTCGGGTGGGAAAAGCTCTACGTCTAGAGTTGGGGATTGCTCGTACCCGAGATCTCTTTATCCAGAACATGAGCACTCGGATCCACTATGCCCGCCTTCTAGCCACACTGCCTGGGCTACCACTTCTCGAAAATATGAAGGCGTGGCATGACCGTCACTTCTTCCTAGATCCCGGTTGAGTTTCCCTCAGGTTTCGTCAAGCTAATGACGTTAAACAAGCGCTTCTTGGGAGGCAACCCAAGTGATTTACTGCTTTATTAGATATTTTTCTTTTCGCTTTTTAGTTTTATCTTGGAATAATGGGAGTTTGGAGTTTCGTGATTTTCTTAGTGGCAGGGATGAGTTCGCGAGGCTGATCGTAGGCGAGCTACTTGCACATGCATGCTATTTCTCCTCGAGGCACTTCGGTTTGCACACCCTTTTCTTATTTTCTCTTTTTGAGTTGTTTCTTTCTTTTGTCTTTTCTTTTGAGTTTGTGTCTTGTGTTAGCTGCTAGTTTGGTTAATTATATGAAAATGTTGGGTCCTATTATGTGACTTCCGGTTTGTGTCGAAGCAATGAGGTCATTGCCTCATTCTAAGTGTGGGGGAGTTTATTTGGATTTTGCATGTTTATGTGGTGGACCGGTCTAGCTTTAGGTTTTTGTGTTGTTGAGCATGGTATTGGTGGATTATATGAATTGTTGATGAATGTTTGATGAAATTGGGAAGTTGTGATAACGAGCGTGTTGTTCATTGCCTCGGTATTTGCTTGATTGCTTTGAGTGACATTTATTTACCTTGTGAGGTTTTGAGCCTTATTCTTTTCTTGTGAGATATTTGTCATATTCTTGAATGATTAGAACTTGCCTTGAGTTTGTTTGAAAAGAATCGATTAAGTTTGAAATTGCGAATATGATTGAGGCATTTTGTTTGATTAGCTCTTTTTAGCCTTGTTCTTTGATCCTAGACGTTAGTTTCCCTAGTAGCCCGTTTGAGCTTTGAGCCTTTTTCTTG